TCGCTTTGCAGGAATCCTTGCATCCTAATGCGTTTGCTTATGAGACTGAACAAGTTGTGAATCCCTTTGGAATCAGAGAGGCTGGTGGAAGACACCATTCCACACACTGCAATTCGGCCATGAATCCTCATGTTGATCAATGCTGCTTCAAGCATATCTCCACCGACATTATCAAAGTAGATATCAATGCCTTCAGGGAAGTACCTGTTCAGGGAAGATTTGTCAGCGATCAAATTGAGGGTAACTCTCATCATAATCAAATTTATACAAGGAGAAATTGTGTTACTCGATGCTGATACAATTTTGGATGTGTCTAACTTGGCAACCTGCAGCTTCATTTAAGATGATCATATCCGTGGAAGTTCAATGCATTTTTAACGCACTAAAAAGAGAAATTCAGAAATGCAAAAAATATAATGCAGACGTTAAGTGCAAAAGTGCGTTGCTGACTCTAAGATAAGAATCTTAGTTTGATTCTCAGTCAACACAACTCTTTTAAAATCAAACCAAAGTTTGGAAAAGCATCACGGTAAACACACATCATTCTTTTTGGGGTTCACTATAAGATAATCAACAGTAAACTCACCTATATCTCTAAAAATCTTCTCCTCTTTGTTCATTTGTCTATTTAGATTTTTTTTTATCGATAAGATGCAATGGCAACAAAAAATTTAAGAAAATTATGCACGCAAATTGGAGAGAGAGTCTGCTAGCTAATCACTATATTTAATTGGCATTTTATTGAAAGTGTCTAGTTTGTATTAGTAACCAAAATATAATGGCAGAACAATAGCATGAAAATGAAGATAGGTAATTGGATCATCATTCGCTGAAAAGGCCAGCAACTAACATCTCCAAAGCATTGATGATTATCAATTAAGCAAGCAAGTTGCAAGGTATTGGGTCATCTCGTGATATTCATTCAGGGATTTTAGACTTTAGATTGAGCACCGAGGAAGATGGCCATATCAGAAGTAGCTACTTCTATGACAACCAGCAAATTAAGCTCTTTATCACGCTTACATTTTGAAAAGCTTGTTACTGAGCACTCACCTTTTCAAAGTTGAATTCAGGTCAGGTTCCTCTTTGTAGTTGAAAGCTTGATCAAATCCAAGCTTGTTCTTTAAAATGTCAACCTATGATTTCCCATTCAAGATTTCTCTCGTGTATCAGTTTTAATAGCAGTTATCAATAATATAATATACTAATTCCTCAGCAGTATCATTTATGGATGATAAGATCATCCATATAACACAATAAAAGAAATCTACCTTTTGGCTCGTGCCAGCACTTCCAACTACATAGCAGCCATGTAATTTAGCAAGTTGGCCAACAAGCTGGCCAACAGCACCGGAAGCAGCAGACACAAAGACATTGTCCCCTTTCTTAGGGGAGCAGACCTCATAAAAACCTACATAAGCAGTAAAACCTGGCATGCCTGCATGGAAAATTCTACTTCAGTTAAATTTCCAACCATAAATACATCAATATCAGAAAATAATTAATAACAATTCCATAAATTAAAAGTTTTAAACGACTAAGATACAGAATTACATGCGAGAAAGCTCAAGATTATTTTTTTCTCTCTTTTTTCTCTTATACTTACTTGAGAGATAAAAAAAGTTCAGCAGAAGCTGCTGTTAACTGCAGCAAGCCAGCAAGCAAATAACTTGTCCCTCAGGAAATTGAATCCTAGGTCCAAAAAAACAACTTGCTAGTTTTTTATATAAAAGTTGGCAAGCACTAGAGAACTTCGTCAAATCAACTAGAAAAAGGAGACCTAGCTTGGGCACCATGAAGGGTAGTGTATGATGATGGGAGCTAAAATGACAGAAACAGTCAACCGGTGAATAAATATATAAATTACTAGCCAAACTGGTGTTAGAAGTAAGATAATGAGTCAGGATCCAATACAGAAATCGATTTCATTCCTTCTGGAAAATACAATTTAATGCCCAAGTAAACTAATATAAGTCAACTCAGCCAATCTAAGGATCGATCATGTAATAGCTTGCGTTCAACTTGGGGGCCAGGGCCAATTAACTTATAAGAGAGATTCTCCGTGTAAGATTATTTTGAAAATAGGCATGGAGCAATTACAAGTTTCCATCAATAAGCTAATCAGCCATTGCTTTTTCTTTCTTTTCTTTCCTTACAAAAAGTTAGTCAATTCAACATTGGCTTTCGCGGTGGGATGGAATGTTGTCTTCTTCATATTAAGTAAATCAGCCATGGTGTGATTAGTTTAAGCAAAATAATGTAACAACCCAAATCAGGAAAAGAGCTAGCAATGTCTTGAACAATAAGAATAGCGTACCAAGAAGACCCACATGATACGAGAGAGGAATATCATCTTTCTGGATTCTTCTTAACTGCACATGTTTCCGCATCAAGCTGTATTCTTCCCAACCAGTCAGCCCTGAAACAATGTCTCCATGCTTGAAATCTGGATCATCAGAATCCACAACCTTTGATACACCAAATCCTTGTAACGCCTTCATCAAAATACACCATCATTCATCAATGCAGAAGCCATACGATGCTCAAATAGATACTAATACATGAATTAATTGGGGTATGAAATCCATCAACTTTAGCACAAAAAGAGAAAAAAAAACCATAAACTTGGGACTGATATCAAAGCAGCCCACTCCTTACAGTGATTTGGGGAGCCGCCCTTGATACAGGGAAAGAGTAACAAAAATATTCAATTAGATGTGGCTGCTGGGATTCGAGCCCAGGTCTCCACGGCCACAACGTGGAATTCTTACCACTAAACTACAGCCACAAGATGCTAAGTTTCCACTAAAATACAAACTAATACTGAAACATGTTCTATTTCTACTTTAAATTCCTCGAAATATAATATGATGATCTGAGAAAACTTAAATTTGTCTGTAGGACAGTGCAATGCAACCCATGAATCATATCTCCCAATTTAATATAAAAATTTATAACAAATCCACTACAAAAGGAACTCATACCCTTTGTCAAATACAATAAAACCGATCCTTTTCTCCTAAGCATTTCCATCAATTGAACCCACTAACTGAATATAGTAAACAAGAGATAACAGAACAGATTCTTGATATTTCAACAAATTAAGGTGTTGCAAATCAAGATCATTTGGATGTCAAATATTTTCCAACTTCAAGAGCTAGAATGTACCATACCTGGCCAGGGACAAAGGGAGGGATGTAAGAATCATAGTACTCACGCATGCGACCTCTCATGTAAGGGTCACAAGACAAATAGAGATTCTTGACTAAAAATGCTCCCGACCCTTTTGGTGCTTTCAGCTCTACTTTTCCAGTGATTAGTTCCATGTCTGTCTCTCTCGGTATTCTGTCTATAAACCCCTTGAATATCACCTGCTTGTTATCTGCTACTTCCCCTTCCATTTTCATCAAGAACTCAATTAAATCCCAAGAGCAGTACTGCTTATGTTGTAATGGGCTGTTTCAGTTTCTGTGTTTTGTAGTATTATTGCTGCGTTTTTGAGTTTAAACTACCAACCCAAGTACTCACTCTGATGTCAGCAATCGGGTATGGTTTTTTAATGCTACCTACCCACCTATCCATCAACCTTACCTTCTCATCACATTTCTGGGCCTGTTTCAGCCAGCAATGCTTATGGACCATTGGATGGACCAAAATAGCTTGGTGGACAGAGCAACTCGAGAAATAGGTTTGAATTCAAGATTAGGTGAGAAAGGGCACATAAGGAAGATCATTCCATTTTTCGATTTTTTTTTTATTAACTAAATTAATTAAAATAAAAATTAAAATCAAACCGAATTAAAGGTTTTTTTCTTAGCTTAAAAAATCAAATTTTTTGATTTAGTATTTTGATTTTCGATTAAAAACTGATTTTTTCTGCATATTTTTTTTTCTGAATTTTGAATTTTCTCATGAACCAAGCTCAAATGTCACTTTTTTTTTCAATTTTCAAAAAATTCTAATAGCTTGAATTGAAGTTTTAGTAAAGAAAATCATATTAGTTGAATTCAATACTATAGTTAGAATTTAGGTGGTCTTTTGTCTATCAAAAATTTGAATATAACAGTTTGAATAGTGTTCTCTTCTAACGAATTCAATATCAAAGAGCTTGTAGTCCGAGTGGTAGTGGTTTCTTGTAAGAGATCATGGGTTCAAATGATCTTCTCTAATTAATTCAATACAAAAGAGCTTGTAGTATAGTGATGATGATTTTTTATAAGAGGTCACGAGTTCAAATCCTAACGTATTAGTTCTATTATGAGCTTTAGATATGTATGTTAAAAAAAAAAAACTAATTCTATTTTTGGTGGAAATCGAAGTTTTTGAAAAAAACTGAATCAAACTAAAATAATTTTGGTTTAGATTTTTTTTTCCAATTTTTTTGTTCAAAACAACCAAAATTACAAATTCGATTCAATTTTAACCGAATAGAACTCACCCTTAGAAAAAAGTATCCTTGACTAATGAACTATTAAAATTCCTCCAAATATACTATGTTTATATTGAAAATATATTGTTATTATCGTCTTAAAAAAGTATTTTATCTCGATTGTCAACAAACTATTTTTAAAATATTTCTTATTATCGAATAATTAAAAAAAGCTATAAATTTATTGACTTTTTGTCACATAAATTTGATTCATATAATATCATGAATTATTTCAAAAAAATTTTTTTTGATAAAATTATTTTAAATGATTAGATCCATATAATAATAACTTTTTTTCCCTTTAGCTAGGGTAGAATGGAATTAGTTAACTAGCAAATGTTATTATTAGTTAGTTTATCTAGAATATCGCAAAGAAAAAAGTTGGATATCCTAAATTTTAATTTTGAAGCTGAATCGAGATTTCAAATTCTAACAATAAACAAGTAAAATATTTATTATTCACGTTAGTGAGAAAGAGAGAAAAGGAAATGAAAAGAAATTTTAATCCGTTTATTATTAATATTTATTTTTTTCAAGACAAACAACTTGTCAAAATTAAAATAAAGATTTTTCACTTTTTAATTATCAATGGACATTCGCGTGGGTTGATCATGGCAGATGGATAGTCCATCGGAGATAAGGGCAAACGTTGTGCACTCTCTGGTGAAATGGTAATTCAAAATAGGTTCTATATATATAGTTTATGCGAATCTAATTACGTGAACAGAAATATTACAGTTCTATTGTTCGGTTCTTCGATTTTCAATTTTTTTAAAATAAAAAATTTCAATATGATTTTTTTTTTAATTTTTAAAAAATAAAAATTGAAAAAGAAAAAAAATTATTAATTTTAAATCGAACAGAACTGAAAACCAAACTACCAAACCAAATTATAGCTATTTAGTTCTATTTATCAGTTTGGTTTGTTTTTTGCTCACCCCTACTTGCAGCACACAATTAATGATTAAACCGTGAGGCGCGAGAAGTTAATGTTAACAGTTAATAATTAGTAGCTAGTAATTAATAATTAATAGAAAGGTTGTATTGTCATAACAGACGAATTAACTATCATATAAAAATTAGAGGTTACTATGACTTTAATTATAAATCGATATGTATTATTTTGGCAGCTAATTGTTCAGCAGATTCAATTTTTCAGAACTTTTTATTACAGCTTCATTGTTTTTGTTTCGGTTTTTTAATCACCACCAGATCATAGACGCTTTCTCTTCCTCCAAGAAGCAGTATTTGTGGACAGTTGGACTAGTGCTGGATGTACCAATTAAAAACCTTTTTTTTTCTTTTTTCTGAACAACTTAATAATACAATTCTTTATTCCATCAAAGACAAAAGAATATTAACGTACAAACGTCACTAAAAATACCATCTGCTTCTCAAGAGAAGAAAAAAGAAAAAATTACAAACAACCATCTGGTTGAACTTGACCGAGGGTTTCTCCAACTGCATTCGCACACGATGATTGAGCTTCTTGATTTGAATATGTCAAATTTACATCATGCAATCTTATACCCACGCATGGATATTTGGAGCTACAATCAAATTTTATAGCAACTGGGGTGGCAGATGTTCCTTTAATTCCTTGATATATCACATCACTTATTTTTACGCCTGACTCCTAAGAACACGAAATCGCAACATAATAGCTAGGATTAAAAACGTAAGTTTAATCAAAAGATTACAATTTTCATATGCAAATCAATTTAAGTGGGAAAAAAAAACAGAAACTTTCGGGATACCTATTTCTTACCTGATTGGGGCAATTCAAATTGTGAGGGCAGTAATGTTGATCAATGACAATGGGATTTTGAACATTATTCATGATGGCATCAACGAAGCGAACATCTTGGACGAATCCAGTGCTGGGCCTGGCCCATGACTTTACTCTAAACCCATTTTGAGTGTCAGCAAAAACTGTCCTAGTAACTGTCACATTCTGAACCCCTGGCTCTTCCGGCTCTTTCCCTAAGCTTCCAATACTGAAAAACAAAATAGTACCCACGGTTGTTCCTAATGTTAATTATCCTTATATATTTAAGAAAATTAATCCAATGGATTGCAGGGTCTAATTAAATCATATCTCACCTAATGCCGTGGCCAGGGCCACATTTGACCCCTTCGATCCACAAGTTCTTAGTCCCAGGTCCAACTGAGATGCAATCATCCCCTGTTTTAATCGAAGAGTTCATAATCACAACATTTGTTGATAATTCGACATGAATCCCATCTGTGTTTGGGCTGTCACCAGCAGCAATCACTCTGACTCCTTGAACTTGCACGTTTTGGCAGCCATTAATCGCAATGTGGAACATTTGGCTGTTTAGTGACAGCAATCCATTGATCTTTATATTGTTGGAGTTCACAAATCTCAAAGTCTGCATCCATGCACAAAAATTGAACAAACTCTTTTAACTTTTAGTACAACTTGATTATTCATTGAAAATTATATTAGACGATGTTATAAAGTTAATTAAGCAATATGCATGTAGTACCGTAGCTCCAGCAGGACAATTGCTGCCTTTGGCTTTGCAATCCCACAAGGATGATCCTTTAGCATCAAGAGCCCCGCCAACAATGGAGACACCGCTGACACGTTCAAAGCTAAGCCAATTGCTGGCTCGACCAAGTGTACGATAGTCCTCGGGAGCAATCAGAGTCCCATCAATCCTTATAGTGATATCAGGACTTGTGCACTCGCGACCTTGAAAGGACAGCTCGCCAAGCAGATACCTTCCTTTAGGTATGTAAATCATAGTTGAATCAGTAGAGCCACAAGCTGCAGTCCATGCATTAAGGAAGGCTTGGGTGGAGTCTGTTTTGCCATTTGGTCTGGCCCCATAAGTCAGCACATTATAACTCGTTTTGGCCGATGATATGTTAATGTGTAAACTGATATTGATCAAGGAAAAGAGATATAGCAGAGAATGAAGACACGACAACTTTGCCATAGTAATTTTATTTGCTCAATAAGACAGAAAGTGGGAGAAAATGATTACGATGATTGATTACTTGTGATGATTGTATTAATGGTAATGAGAAGCTATGGAAGTAATTGAAGGGTTTGGTTGATGTTTGAACTTGAAGAGGGTTAAGGGGTATATATACATATATGTAGATAGATATGGTCAAATATGGATTAATTAATAGTAGATATTCAAATTGTTAGAGACAGAGAGGTTACAGTTTTAGATAAAGAGGAATAAATGTAGGGTTTAAGGGAAGTCATGAACTGGGAAATGGAAAATGAAAGAAATCGGCGCCGGAACTGATGAAATCTCGTTAAATGTATCGCTTTCTTTTTAATTCACAGCGTACGCTCGCTGGAGTCAATAGGGTTAATTTTCCAGTTTCCATGCATGCACGGAAAATTCCTTAGCGTTTTCTACTCGATCACTTATTAATTTCCTTCATGTATCCTAATCGATGATTTACTCGATGGATTATCTTTACTTTGGGAAATAAAGCAAACTAGTGTAATTTTTTAAAATTTTAAGAAAATTAACTGTATTTATCCTCATATTTTACTTCTAACTAATTATTTATCCATATTACGTTATATATCGGATAAAACATGTAAAATTATTTTTTTAAAAAAATTTAATTTGATGGTTTGTACTGTATTATAGGTGTATCAAAATATATCAAATCAAAGATAAAAAAAAAATTAACTTCTTTTTTTAATTCTGTGTTTAATTAATTAATTATTTATTATGTTTTTCATAAATATTTTGCTAAAAAGAACATGATGTACTCTTTTATATCTGGATTTTTAACCAAAAAAATTATAAGAAAATTAAAAATTTATGAATTCTTAATTAAAAACTTTTCTTATAATTTTTTTCTAATAAAAAATCTGAGATAAATTATCTGAAAAATATTTTTAATCTAATTTTTATTAATTAGAATCAGAGTGATAAGGTTATTGTTTTTTATATTTTTTTTTATCAAAGAAATAAATTACGTTACTTAATCCTGAAACTAAACTAAGAATTATTTTTTGGGGAAATCTGGCATTTAGTCATCTTGACTTGTATTTATTGATAAGCATTCTTTAGGCAATTGATCAAATTGTTGAAGTAGACCTCGTAGAGGAGTCTATAGAGCATGCGTTAGCCAACCACCTCCTGATTTCTTAGAAGTCAATAAAATTATAAAGAAATTTATTTATGATCAGGATCATTATCATCAATCAATATACACATATAATAGTACTCCATACGAAGACAATGCAAACGAAAGTCTCGATCTGGATGGACCTAAGGTGAAAATGGCCGTTAACGTGACAGCTGAACAATGCAAGCTTCTTTCATTTCTACTATATGAGTCATTTGCATCTCAATTTTCTCACAGTCGCCACGTTTAAACGCCTGCCTTCATCATCAAGCAATTCAACCTTTTCTGTCTCCCTTTGTTTAAGTTGAATTAAATTGAGCATAACAACGTTTACATTAATTAAGCTAAAGATAGACGACGTTTTCCCATTAATTTTTAAGAGAAGGACTGTTTTATTTAAATAAAAGAGACGATTTATTGTTCGGCTTGACCCAAAGTTAAAAGGCACAAGAGCCCCAAAATAAACACATCAAGTAATAGGCATGGCTAAAATATATTGTACACCTTTTCACTTTTGGATATCTCAGAGTGATTGCACATTGTCAGAAAATCAAACTATTTATGTAATTAGTTGATTTTACTGTTATATATTTGATATTTATAACTTACTTTAATTTTTTTAAACAATTTAATTTATCTTTTTTATTTATATTAAAATTAAATATAATGATGTAAAATTAAAAACAGATGGCATGATTTATAATTTATCATCTTTTATTAATCTGTATTGTGAAAAATTAAATGAGATTATAATTTTAGAACAAATTAAGAGAGTACATATTAGCATGAAATTGGCTCATGATCAATGCCCTTCTGAATGAATAGAATCATGATTTTAATTAAATCGTAATTTCAACTGCTTTTCTTGTCGTCGTAATTGCAATTATAATGCAGTGAATTATATATATTGCATAAATTAAATTATGTAATGATTATATATGTTTAAGACCTATATGTACACATACATATTTATAGACACACACATATATAACATGAATGGAGAAAATTTGAAAAAAAAAAAAGTAACAGTAAATTTATTAAAATATAGCAGCCATTAAGGCCACGTTCATGTTATTATGTAATTAATACTCCTTACGATTGCCAGAGACAAGAGGAATTAAGTTAATTCGAGGTGTCATGGTACCTTCAAAATTTGAAAAATTTTAAATTTTAGTCTTAAGATTTTAAAAGTTTTAAATTATATATTTTTATTTTTTTAAGAAATTAATTGTTTTTTTAATTCATCCTCCAATCATAAATTTCCCACGAAAACCATTACAAAATTAGTAACGTTATTTTCTTTTTTGTTTTAAAAACAAAACCCACGCTCGAAACCGATTTCATTCTTAGTCTTAAGATTTTAAAAGCTTTAAATTATATATTTTTTTATTTTTCTGAGAAATTAATTATTATTTTTATTCATCCTCCAATCATAAATTTCCCGCGAAATCATTACAAAATCAGTAACGTAATTGGCGAATTCCTCTCCTCGTCGTGTCTCACTCGAAGTCCGTAATCCGTACTCGGTAAATGTACTTTGATTTGTGAATAACTTTTGGATACAAAATCATGTAATCACGTTGACTTTCAAGTAACTATTGGTATGTTATATATGGAAGAATTTTATAATACATAAGTAGTAATTAATGACATGTAGAATAATTAGTTTTTTGAATCTACTTTGAGAAGAGATATAGACATACAAAAAGAAAAAAAATAAGAAAGAGAAAATAAAAAAAATTTGAGACGGATGTGGAAATCTTCTTATCATTTTTAGTGGGTATGAATGTGATTTTATTTTTTTATATATATGTTTATCTCTCTCTTATCAAAGTGAATCCAAGAAATAACTAATGTACATGTAACCGATTATTACTATTATAAAATTTTTCAATATATAATATACTAATAGTCAGTTGAAAGTCAACGTAATTACATGATTTTGTATCCAAAAGTTATTCACAAATCAAAGTACATTTACCGAGTACGGATTACGGACTTGGAGTGAGACACGACGAGGAGAGGAATTCGCTAATTACGTTACTGATTTTGTAATGATTTCGCGGGAAATTTATGATTGGAGGATGAATAAAAATATGGAAAACTAGATCAACTATATATATATATATATATATATGCACCTTGAGACTTCACAAGCAATATTCTTATTCCATGATAAACAAAAGAACAATGTACAACTTCACTGGAAATATATACCATCACATCCTAGCTAGCTATATATATATATCATCAGCGGCAATATTGCATGTATAATACATGCTTGCGCGCTAATTAATTACAAACAGTTATCTGGCTGAACTTGGCCAAGTGTATTTCCAACTGCATTTGCACAAGAAGATTGAGCTTCTCGATTTAAGTAGGTCAGATTTACATCATGCAATCGTAAGCCTCTGCATGGATTTTTGGAGCTACAATCAAACTTAATGGCGACTGGTGTAGCAGATGTTCCTCTAATGCTTTGGTACATGACATCACTTACTTGTATGCCCGATACCTATGGCCACAAGTCACACGTTAACACAAAATAAGTTTTTTAAAAAATGTAAGTTTAACCAACAAATAATTAACATATTCATATATCAATTTCTAACCTGATTGGGGCAATTTAAATTGTGAGGACAGTAATTTTGATCGATGATGATGGGATTTTGGACATTAATCATAGTTGCTCCAATGAATTGAACTCCTTGGACAAACCCAGTGCTGTGTCTAGCCCATGACTTTATTCTAAACCCATTTGTTGTACCTGTAAAAATAGTCCTCTTAACTGTCACATTCTGGACGCCGGCCTCTTCCATGGTCTTAGCTAAACTTCCGATACTGAAAAACAACATACCCACGATTGTCCCTTATGTCAATCATCAATTAACATATACTAATTAAGAATTTCAATTGATTACAGGATCATATTAAAAATCATATCTCACCTAATGCCATGACCTTGGCCACATCTGATCCCTTCGATCCACAAGTTCTTAGTCCCAGGTCCAATTGAGATACAGTCATCCCCAGTTCTAATTGAAGAGTTCATGATCACCACATTTGTTGATAATTGGACATGAATCCCATCTGTGTTTGGGCTGTCACCAGCAGCTATCACTCTGACTCTTTGAACTTGCACATTTTGACAGCCATTAATCACAATGTGGAACATTTGGCTGTTTAGTGACAGCAATCCATTGATCTTTACGTTGTTGGAGTTCGTAAACCTCAAAGTCTGCATCCATGCACGAAAATTGTAAAACTCTAATTTTTAGTACAACTTTATTATTCATTGAAAACTATATTAATTAGTAGATATTATAAAGTTAATTAAGCAATATGTAGTACCGTAGCTCCAGCAGGACAATTGCTGCCTTTGGCTTTGCAATCCCACAAGGATGATCCTTTAGCATCAAGAGCCCCGCCAACAATGGAGACACCGCTGACACGTTCAAAGCTAAGCCAATTGCTGGCTTGACCAAGTGTGCGATAATCCTCGGGAGCAATCAGGGTCCCATCAATCCTTATAGTAATATCAGGACTTGTGCACTTATGACCTTTAAAAGAAAGCGCGCCAAGCAAATACCTTCCTTTAGGTATGTAAATCATAGTTGAATCAGTAGAGCCACAAGCTGCAGTCCATGCATCAAGGAAGGCTCGGGTGGAGTCTGTTTTGCCATTTGGTTTGGCACCAAAAGTTAGTACATTATAACTTGCTTTGGCAGATGATATAGTAATGTGTAAGCTGACCAGAAAAATTAAGAGAAGTAGTGATGGAAGACGCAACAACTTTGCCATGTTCTTTGCTCAATAAGGCACAGAAAGAGAGAGGTAGGTATGACGATTGATTGATTGCAATGAATGAATTGGAGGCAATGAGAAGCTATGGAAATTGAAGGGTTTTTAATTTAGTTGATGTTGGAAGTTGAAGAGGGTTTAAGGGGTATTTATAGATACGGTCAAATATATATATATATATATATATATATATATATATATATATATATATATATATATGGATCAATTGATAGATATATAGTTAGATACAGAGGACTTAAGAGTTTTAGATAACGAGGAATGGTGTACGTAGGGTTTAAGGGAGGTCAAGAACTGAAAAATGGAAAATGAAAAAAAGCAGCGCCGGAACTCAAATGGCTTCTCTTGTTAAATGGATTGCTTTCTTTTCAATTCACAGCGTACTCTCATTATGTTCAATTCAATTGGGTTTTGCATGCATGGAAAAAAATCCTTGGCCTTTTCCATTGATCTACTTATTGGTTAATTAACTCCTTGATTGAAAGAAAAGGATCGAGTTCACATCGCTGATGAATCCTAAAAATTTGGCTATCTTGACTTCTATATTGTGGCAACTGCGCAAATTGTTTAAGTAAACCTTTATTCAATAATATTGTTGAAGTAGACCAGACTAAAGAGCATGAATTAGCCACCAACTTATTTCTTAGAACTCAATAAAATTATATAGCCATTTATATATTTTTAGTCATCATCGTTATCATCAATATTCATACAGTAGTATACAAATATACAATACAACTGGAAGTTGGAAGCATGGACCAAAACAAAATGCCTGCGCTGTTAACGTGACAATTAAACCATCCAAGCTTGTTTCATTTTCATTAACAGCCATTCATCTTCTCGATTTTCTCACTTGCAGTCGCCACCTTTCAATTGTCTTCATCATGAAGGGATCCAAACTTTTGTGTCTCTCTTTATTTAATTTGTGCATTGGTCATAACACCTTTTCCATTAAGCGAAAGAAAGACGACATTTTACCATTTTAATTTATTGAAAGACTTTTTTTTTTTCCCTAATGAAAGGGTAATGATTTAATTTTGTTGATAGTAAAGAAGTAGAATTGTAACAAAAATAAAAAACAGTAGAATTGTACTTCGGTTTGACCAAAAGTTAGAAGGTATGATAGCCCATATAAACACACTAAGTATAGCAGGTAATAACCCACCAAACAATTAGTTTTATAGGCCTATAGAAGTTTACATTTAAACCAAAAGGGTTGCCCCAACAAATCCCAAGATTCTTGAACAATTAATACATATTAGTTTACCCAAGACTAATCCCAAGTTTTAAATTAAAATATAAATCTTTACTTAGTCCATACCTGGTCCATATTAGTTTATCGGTCTATTTAATATACATTTAATACCCGATAAATTTAATTTATAAAAAAATATTCATTTTAGTCCTTATAGTTTTTAAGAAAAGTTTTTTTAGTTCTTAAATTTTTTTTTGAATTTTGATCATTTATTTATAATTTTTTTTATATCCTCAATGTTTTTGAAAAAAAAATATTTTGATTTTTAATTTTAAAATTTTATTTAATTAGATCCCTATATATTAATAAAAAATTCTAAATAAATTAGTGAAAATTAATAAGATAAAGAATGAGTATTAATATCTTGAAATTATATGTTAGTGGATATATATTCTTTTACCTTTATCTATTTGAATATTCGTTAAATATTCTTAATGAGTATTTATTAAATCGGATAAAACAAATATTTGTTTCATATCTCATCCATTATAATTACTAGCATCAAAGTGGCTCATGATCAAGGTACTAGTGAACCACCGTAAACCATGATTGCAATTCTTAATTTCAGTAATGGTCTTGGCGGTCGTGGTGTAGGATGCAGACTACTAATTAATGGTATGGTGTCACAATTAATCATGATTAAATGTAGTGGTAAAAATATTTGAAACTCAAATTCATATATAAACATATAGAATTTAAATAATATAATCAAAACACTAAAATTTACATTTGTATAAATTAACTAATGTAGAACTATTAATTTTAAATATAAAATATAAATTAAGAATAATTAATAATAATATATATGTGAAAAATAAAAAAGCAATGAATGTGTGTTAAAAATATTAAAAACTCAAATGTTAAGTAATGGCCATTACCATTGCTGCCGTGAATCCTTTAAAAAACTTTATTATGTTATACAACGGATTGTAACGTAAGGTTGTAAAATATGTTATTTAACATAATTACCATTTTAAACAAAATGCTCCAAACTAATTTTACCGTACAAATGATCAATGTTGTATTATCAGCCACTTTACCAGAATACACGTAACATGGGTGGATTTATGCTGGCTTGTAACGGGGATCATCTCATCATCACCATGTCGTGTCTTTTTCAAAATCCGTACTCCATATGTACTCGGTGATGTTCAAAGTTTAGAATTTAAGATTTGCAATCTCTTATTCTTAATTGTTTTTTTTTTCTATTAGTTTTAAATATGTTGTGTGAATAGCTATCAGTTTATTCTAATTTTATTGTATTTTTTGCGACAATTTGCAGCAATGTATCCAAGATTTTTACGCACTCAATTTTATTTATTTATTTTTTATTCTCAAGTTTGTGTTTCGTCTTTTCTATACTAGAGCTTGCTTCGCTCTCGTTATCTTCTTTTTCAGATTTCCTGGTACATGCTTCGTAATGTGGCACTTTACATATATATATAAGCAAAACTTTCTATGCAGAAGGATTCATTTGCAAAATCAAAAAGTTTATAAAAAAAAAATTTCAGCTATTACATTTTTTGGTGAATGAATGTATCCAATATCAAATTTGTAATAATTAAACTATTTTTATCACCTAAAAAGTCTAGTTTATCTGACATTCTTTAAATTCAAGTCCCTAAATCTTTTAACATACAAGAAATTTGCTTTTAATGTGAAATTGAGCATTGAAGGTTGCAATGAGAATGGAATTCTTTTCTATCTTTACTTGCCAATATCTACTTTTCAAGTTAAATTTCGAAAAAAAATAGATAGTCTTCTTAAATCCAACCTATCAATTATACCTTTATAAGTACTGAAAATCTTATGGTCATAAACTTAATTTTATTGTTTTATTAAGGTGACAATTAAGAGTCTCAAACCATTCTTGTTTTTCTATGTGTTTCTTTTGCTTGCATGGTTTATTAATTACCATAAAAGTTGAGCTCGATTGAAGACTATAACTATTTCGAATTAAGTATTTTTCTAGCAACTCAGAAATTTGCTTTTCAATTTTCTCTCTCATTTCAACTAGTAATATTCCTAACTTTAATTATTGTATTTGATTCTTTTAATTCGAGTCTAGCTTTTATTCCATTTAGACTCTGATCATTTTAGTGGATCTTCACAAAAATTATTAACAAGTTCGTTAAAAAATCTATTCTATTTTATACCGAACAAATGTATACTCCTAAATTTTTATAGATAATTTTTTTCATCCTCTTATGTATTATTTATGGAATTTTCATAATCAAATAATTCGTCTATTTGTGTGTTTTCATCAAGTGGAAAGGGAAATGAGATATCTTCTTTGATGAAGAGAAGGAGGTAGCTAAGAGTGGAATTGAGAAGGAAGCAAAGGATGGGTTTGAGTTGGAAAAGTGAGATATTGTGTGCGATGTGAGCTTTGAATGGGTGTTTAATGTTTTTTTTTTTTCCCTATTTTTGCCGGCTATTTTTAAATATTTTTTTTTCTTCTCAAAATCTCGTGTGTCCAAAAAACTTCGAATAGAAAAATAAAAAATAAAAAAGAGAAATTCAAATAAATAGAATAAAATGTTAAATACTTAAACATAATAAAATTAAAATGCTGGACTCCTAAATTATAGACACCTAACGCAGGTGAATTTATGCTGCTTGTAAGGCTGAAAATTATCTCCTCATCATGCTCGTGCAGTGTTTTTTCAAAGCCCATACTCCCAACTCGGCAGATGTACTTTGTGAATAACTTGTTGATACAATTTCATGCAATTACTTTGACTTTTATTTGGTCATTGCATTATATTTGGACCATACATTTCTTGTTAACCAACCAACTTCCTTCTCGGTGCTTACTCATAATTTATTTGTCTTCGTCATCAAGTAATATATATATCCTTTTAATCTTAGGTGCCTTCTTAATCACAGTCTTAACTTCATATATCGTAATATTCATATCTATTCATTTTGAATTTAATAATTTAATTTAAAGAGTATGACCAAATATAACGCGCGCGCACACAATAATAATAATAATAATAATTAAGAACATAAAATTAAGGATCCTAATCCGATCATATTTTCCATTAATTCGGAGCCTAGTGCCCTCTGTTTTTAGGTTTTGACTCCTTGTCAGTACTTATTAAGCATTTGGCCTTAATTTTAATGGAATCATAATATTTGAAAACTAATTGATTAAACATACATGATAGTGTATATACTTAGTTGAACGAACAGATATTCATAAAATGATGGTTCCTTAAAAATATTGGATATCTTAAATTGAACAAATTCTTAGATTAAATAAGAGAAATATCTTCAGTTTGAAGGAAAGCAAATCTTGTTCACAATTTTAAAACAGAAGACACAAGTTACAAGTACACCAACTTTCAGCCTTTTCTCAACCAAAATTTTGAATTTTAATTTTTTTTTTATTTGAGTATATTAACTTTTTCAAAACTATCAATCTTTTGTCAATTTTTTTTCATTCATTGATGACATGTTGTTAGATAACTAACAAATCCAACAAACAAAAACAATAGCTCAAAGAGATCAGATAATGGGCGACGGCAGTTATCAAATTCTTCCCTGCTTCCCCCATCTCCCAAACACAAGAACAGGAAAACTTTGTGTTTATTGATACCCACAGTGTACACATGGTTTTCAGATGATTAGCATTGGTCATGTTTAATCAGTGCAATAAACCTACGAAACAACTTGTTCCTTAGAAATTAGTTGCTTTCAATCTAACTTATGATAATTTAATGTTTAAGTAAACCAAATTGTGAACTCCAACATTGTTAACTGTTAATATTTATTGTTTGCTGATGGATCCTAATTGTAGGTCTGATGGTAAAAATTCTTATAAAAAAATAGTTAAAGGGAAGAGGCATCATGTTCGTGGGAGATTCACTGAGTTTGAACCAATGGCAGTCACTCACTTGCATGCTTCATGTAGCTCTACCACAAGCTACATATAGCTCGGTTAGGATAGGAGGGCTGTCCACTTTCACTTTCCCTGTGAGCCCAAAATCCTTAATTACTTCTGCCACATGCTTTGCCTCCATGCATTCCTAGTTTTGTTTTCAAACGATTAGCATTGTTTATGTTCAATTAGTGCAATAACTTATCAGCAAAGTCTGGGAGGTTTTCATGAGGATGATCAACAAAGTAGGTCTTCAAATGTTTCTTGTCAAGCTGCACAGCCGAAAAAAAAAAGGAAAGCAGAACAGAAAAATTTGAAGACGCATGAAGATATACATGGAACATAAAAAAAAAAAAATGTTAAAACATACATGCTTCTTTTCAAAATGAAATTATTTGAAGGCATGTGATCACAAACCTTGGACTCATCAACTTTGATTGGAAGATTTAGAAGATATTGTCCTGAAAGTGCAACATCAATCTCCTCATCAGTTGATATCTTGAAGTCGCTCCTCTCCATCACTTATTATAAAACAAGTAGGAAAAATAAGAGTTAACAGTGAATTTTTTCCCATTTTGATTTACTTCTTAGCTATGCCTTATTTAACAAGTTGATTGGCTCTCTTCAATTTGTTGCAGTTTAAAGTTGCAAAAATGCTCGAGCTTTTCTTAAAAAAAGGCCATTACTATTCCCTTCTTAACCTGTACAACACTTTAATATCCTTTTCTTGTGATAGTGTTACTTGTTTTTATTGCGCGCATGTGCAAACCCACCCACCCACCTGACCTAAAACATAACAAGAGAAACAGGCACAATACCTGAAATAAGTAAGTCAGGAAATTCTGTTCAAGTACATCAATTTCAGTGGGAGATAGGTTCTGCTGCTCCAATTTCTTAGCCCCAGACATAGGGTCAAAGAGAGAATACAGTTGCTGGAGACACAATAAAAATATGGAAAACATCTTGATTCAACAAAGTTATTGCAATGTATAGTTTGAATAAAAATAATGAAAACCAGTACCATCAAATCTTCAAACTGCAGAAGATACCAAGCTCGTATGGTGTACTCAACTCTCTTAAATAGTTTTTGAAACTCAGCCCTGTCAGTACCATGTTCTGCAAAAATGTTCAAAGACTCAATCAAACAATTGTTACCTATAAAGCCAGAGTCAAATGCTTCTTCCAGATCTAATCAAATTAAACAGAAAACAGATTCACATTGGCTTTCTTTCACATTCGCATTTGCATAACTTAAGTAGTACCAAATCCTTATTCTGAATGATTTGGAGTACATGCTTGTTCTGGATTAATCGATTCAAACATATTCACATTAGCATGACAAAAAAGTTAATGAAGCCCATTGTGGCTGAGGTAGTGGCTGCATTCTTGGGTACACTTGTAATAAAATAAGTGTTAAATTTAATCTTTCAGGTTGGTTGGGTGGAGCTCTCACCAATTCATCATTCATAAAGTGCACTGTTCAATACACCGCTAATCTCAAGATTCACATTTAGGTGCATAATTTACATATTTAATCTTACCTTCAATCTACAAACAGAAAAGATGATATATAAAAGGAAAGGAATTCTAACCTTAAGTAAATGAAACACACTATGAAGGGTAGTTGAACTCAATTCATCAGAGACAAAGTAGGGCTCTATGCTAAAGGGGATTAAGAGGATACCTGAGGAAGCTCCATGTCATAATGGGAAAGAAGATCATAGGCATTTCGTAAGATATCCAAGAGCGAACCATCCGGAATCTGCATGCACGGCCAAATTAACAAATTAACATGAGAGGAATATTAATCAAGTCAAAGTTATTAGCAAGATCCCACAAATTAAGATTCAAAATTTGGTATCCAAACTCAACTCAAGGAGTTGAAACACACTCTGGGAAGTTTGGCGACTCACTGAAATTTCCGATACAGTACACAAACAAGTAGGGATTGTAAATCAAGGATTCAATCATTGATTTATTATGATTAGTTGCACAAATTCTGAGCATAAAAATAGCCATGTAGCTAATTCAAAGCACAAAGAGCACCAGAAGTTATTATGAAGAAGGCTAGTACTTCCAAGGAAATGATTTGATACCCATTAGTTGAATGAGGACCACTTGCGTGTTGTGACTCCAAATTTATCAAACACGTGACAAGCCATAAGCCCACCGCCCATGAAGATTCTTCTTTTCAATAAGGACGTTAATTCCTTCGGTAGCCCCTGAGTTGTACTTATAAGATGCAAACCCCAGTTTCTGTTACATGTACAAATTGCATAGCAAGACAATGAACCCAAAAAAATGTCCAGAGAATTCATCCAAGTAGTGTACAAAAGCATTCTTTAATCTAAATATAGGTTGGAAAGGAACTAATCTTGACACAAAGAACTACATAGAAACACCCAAATTAAAACCAAGAGAGAAAAGGGATTGTACCTTATTCTTGTATTGTTGAGAGGTTTGATAATGTCTCGATTGAATGATGTCCCAATTCAACAAAAATCCTTCACAAGAAACAAAGTTTATTACCAATTGGAATGATATTGATCAATACCCAGACCTAGGGAGAGAGATTGAAAGAAAATTACACACCTAAGATGAAATAAAAAAAAAAAAACAAGAAGGAAGAGAGAACTTTTGCCCTAACAGAATTTCGCCCAATCCTTCAACGGAAAATCAAGAAGAACTTTTCTCCTTATTCATAGTTCTCTATGAATCTAAACCAAGGGTAAATAAAACCAAGTGATATATTGAAAAAATAAGATGAAACTGAGAGAGATTGGAGCTGAGAGATCGAAGAAGAGAGAGAGCACAAATCTGAAAAAAAAAATAATAAATAAAAGATTTTGCGGGTTAATAAAACAATCATTTTGAGAGACCTTGGAACTGTTAATGTAGACCGTTGTATAAAAGTTTGGTACGCGGCAGTTTTAAATTATTGCAAAACTGTTGTTATACATTAGTGTTGACGGAATTAGAACCGCTCCTAATAAATCGTTACCTAATAGCAGTAGTGCTTTTTTTCTCAATCAAATATGTTGATTTTGATTTTTTTTATTTGAGTATATGAATTTTATTAAAATAGTTAAATAAGTATTTTATTAATTTTTTATTAACTAATGATCTGTCAGCTATCCTTAAAATATTAAATTATAATTATACTTTTTTTGTTACGGAATCTTTCTCCTAAAAGCTCACAAATAATAAATTTTTTTGATAAAAAATCTCAAATTTATATATATATATTTTTTTTAATTTTCACACCTAAATCTAACTATTTTTTTTAATAGCAAAACCAACCAAGTTTAGTTCCCATTTTTATAGGTAAAAAATGTTTTCTTTTTAATTTTTTAAATCAAATTTGAAATGATGGATTAATTTGGAAGGAAAGTTTGCTTCAACAAAGAGAGAACAAAATTATAATTTTAGCATTGTAGAAGTAATAAATACATCATCAGTTAAAAAAATTAAAAATATTCAATTGACAATTTTAAAAAAATTATACTCAAACAAAAAAAATTAAAGTCCATGTATTTATTTGAAAAAGAAAAAAGGTAAATTAAATTATAATTTGGTATTTTGAAGGTAACATGCATGTTATGAGTTGATGAAAAGACTTTATTGATAATTTTAAGAAAATTAATATACTAAAAAAAAAATTATAATCTACAGGTTTAATTAAGAAAAATTTAAAAACTGATATACCGATAGTGCAATTATCTCTTTTTGTAATTCCCCTATAAGTTCCGAACCGCATATTGTAGCTTTAATTTTATAATTTCCGTTTCCTTGCTTTTGGCTGACCATAAGTATCACAATTTTTTCCGGGACTGAATCTGACAATGGGAAACTATATGAACACCCATGACTCCTTCCATGATATACAAAAGAATAATGTACGTACACCGTCTTCACCGTCAATTGATTGCAGACAACAAATATATCCACTTCTCTTAGAATTATTACAGACAATTATCCGGTTGTACTTGATCGAATGTTTTTCCAATTGCATTGGCACAAGTTGATTGAGCTTCTTGATTTAAGTAGGTCAGGTTTACGTTCTGCAGTATTATGCCTTTGCATGGATACTTGGAGCTACAATCAAATTTTATAGCAACTGGTGTGGCAGATGTTCCTCGAATGCCTTGATATATCACATCACCTATTTGTATGCCCGATGCCTAAAAGCCAGTACAAGCACAATACAAAATAAGAGTAAAATGTAAGTTTTAATGGAGTAAAAAAAAGGACAACGTTTTAGAGACAATCAATTAATTTACGTCCAGAAAAAACATATTCATGTCAATTTCTAACCTGATTGGGGCAATTTAAATTGTGAGGACAGTAGTTTTGATCGATGATGATGGGATTTTGGACATTAATCATAGTTGCTCCAATGAATTGGACTCCCTGGACAAATCCAGTGCTGTGTCTAGCCCATGACTTTATTCTAAATCCATTTGTATTACCGGAAAAAATTGTCCTCTTGACAGACACATTCTGGACGCCGGGCTCTTCCATGGTCTTGGCTAAACTTCCGATACTGAAAAACAACATACCCACGATTGTCCCTAATGTCAATCATCAATTAACATATGCTAATTAAGAATTTCAGTTGATTACAGGATCAAATTAAAAATCATATCTCGCCTAATGCCATGACCAGGGCCACATTTGACCCCTTCGATCCACAAGTTCGTAGTCCCAGGCCCGATTGAGATACAATCATCCCCAGTTTTAATCGAAGAGTTCTTGATCACAACATTTGTTGATAATTGGACATGAATCCCATCTGTGTTTGGGCTGTCACCGGCAGCTATCACTCTGACTCCTTTAACTTGTACGTTTTGACAGCCATTAATCACAGTGTGGAACATTTGGCTGTCTAGTGAAATCAATCCATTGATCGTTATGTTGTTGGAGTTCGTAAAGCTCAAAGTCTGCATTGAAACTTATTTTAGTACAATCTACAACGTAACATTCTTCATTGAAAATTATGCTATATATATAGTTTTAATACTTTATATTAATGAATCTTGGCTTATCAACACAAAAAAGTACCGTAGCCCCCGCAGGGCAGTCGTTGCCTTTGGCTTTGCAATCCCACAAGGGCGATCCTTTAGCATCAAGAGCCCCGCCAACAATAGAAACGCCACTGACACTTTCAAAGCTAAGCCAATTTCTAGATTGACCAAGAATGCGATAATCCCCGGGAGCAATGAGGGTGCCATCAATCCTTATAGTAATATCAGGGCTTTTGCAATTACCACCTTTGAAGGCCACGGAGCCAAGTAGATACCTTCCTTGAGGTATATAAATTACAGTCGAATCAGTAGAGCCACATGCTGCAGCCCATGCATCAAGCAATGCTTGGGTGGAATCTGTTTTGCCATTTGCTTTGGCACCATAAGTTAGCACATTATAAATTGTTTTGGCAGATGATATGTTGATGTTTAAGCTGACCAAGAAAATGAAAAATAGAAGAGAATGAAGACAAAACATTATCATTGCCATGTTATTTTCTCAATATATAAGAAACAGAAAGAGAGCTAGAGACCGACGGTTATTATGTTTTTTATCAATTGATTGGATTTATTGGTTGTATAAAGGAGAAGTTATGAAAGTTGAAGGGGTTTATTAGTTGATGATGTTGGAACCCGGAGAGGTTTTAGGGGCATTTATAGATACGTTGAAATATTGAATATATATAATTAGTTAGACGCAGAGAGGTTACAGTTTTTGATAAAGAGGAAGTATAGTGTAGGGTTTAAGCAAGGTAGCTAGGGTGGTCGATCGTGAAGCAGTGAAAAGAGGAAAATGGAAGAAAACTGCGCCGGAACTGAAATGACTACATACTCATCGTCTTGCTACATGCATGCATTGCTTTCTTTTCAATTCATAGCGCACACTTAGACCCTGGAGGCCAGACATCAGAACTGAAGCAAAATGGGTTTTGCATGCGTTGAAGAGGGGCACTAATACCATATTGTAATTTGGGAAAACTGAAAAGTAAATGTTATTTATGTTTTGAAGTAGAAAAAAAAAAAAACGGAACGACTTGATTAGTCAATCATAATTTTTCCTCGCTTAGATGTTTATATACGAATACATGATAAAAATAAAAAAACAATTAAAGAAAAAATAGTGACTCAATATCTAAATATTAATTATTGAGTAGTATATATCCTGTCTGCGCTATAGTAGTTGACCTAATAGTTTTCTGATCAGCCATTAAATTTCAAAACTCGAGTTAATTAGACGGTAAATAATAAAATCAGTATTAAATTCTTAGCATCTATGTAAATGATATAGTACATGTATTTTTTACCTCATCCAAAAGGTTCAATTTGAGGATTAAATTAAATACGGGTTACATGGTGGGGATGGAAATTAAGTTGTACAAAATAATCCGCTGCAATTAAAGATGGAGTATCATCTTCTCTTCTGTGTTATAATATCTTGTTTTGATATTTATTGATTTTTCCAACACAGTTTCATATATATAACCCTACTGCAAGAGAAAAAATCGTGGAATTTACTTTTTAGTAAGGATTGATTCATTTAGTGACATGTAGTTGTAGATTTGACACTTTCTTTTTTCGGGTCTTACCAATAGATATTCTTTTGAACGATATTATTGGGATTTTTTTGCTAAGAACCTAGCTTTGTGCTCTGATCTTTTTTGTATAAAAAAAAACAAACAAACAAACAAACAATTTCTAGTGTTTTAGTACTTGTTAGTTAGTCAAAAATAAAAAAAACGAAGGGTACTAGGTAATTAGCTTAAGGTATTGACTCCATCATTTTTCTTTAGAATAATGGAGGTACATTGATTTCACATTATTCAAATTCTAAACCCTCATATCCTTTTTGCACATATTTGGCTGTTTTTACTTATTACTTATCACAAAAAACTATAATGGGCAATTCAAATCTTTCAAGTAGACCTGGTACAGAAGTCTAAGGGTGAGGAGCATTTGGCCAAGCCACCACCTGATTCCTTTGTACGTGTTCAATGAAATTATGAAGCAATTTATTTGTCATCATTATCATCACAGCTAAAAAAGTCTTGATGAGACCCCAAAAAAGAAGGGGGAAAAAAAAAAAAGGGCTGCTAACGTGACAATAAATCAATACAGAGCCTCTTCCATGTCCATTAGATATATATATGTAATATGCCATTTCTATGTGTACTCAATTCTTCCACGAACGCCACGTTTATTTGCCTTCATAATCAAGTAATTCAGTCTTTTATGTCTCTTTATAATTAATTTAGTCTGCAAAACAATATTTTTACTAATAAGATAGAATAATGAATGGCACCTTTTTTCCTTTATATTATCGTAGCGACTAGACTTTTAATACTCATTAATTAACTAATAAACTAAAGTAAAACATTCAATTATTGTAGTTACACTATTTGAAATATTGTGCACATACTCACATTTCATTATTTATCATCTCACAATTCATTGTTACTTTCACTGTTCATAATTTTTTTTTACACTTTGGTCCTTAATATTTTTGAACACATTTTTCGATCTACATGTTCATTTGCTTATCTATTTTGGTCCTTGGGTGGAGAGAAAAGGTTGAGAGAAAGAGAGAGAGAGATCGCTGACCAAACTCATTTAAGGCACTCGCTCGGCGAAAATCCATTAGATTTTTTTATCTTTGAAAGATGAGTTTGTCCATGGTGGTTTCAAGCCATTAAACAATTAGAGGAGGTAGATCGGAGCCAAAAAAAAAAAAAATCCGATTTGATTTTATATTTTTCTTTGTTTTTGTATGTATTAAAATGAATTTTAAGATTTTAGATATGTTTATTGGGTTTACTCCGATCATTTAGAATGTTTGGAGAAAAAAATGATGCCGAATTCAATTTCTAAGAATGCGAAAGTTGATCCTCGATTTTTCAGCAAACTTTCGACAACCTCGAGTTTGTCGAAAGTTACGGGATTTTTTTTTTTTTTTTTTTTGGGCGAGGCAAGGCCTAGCACGCAAGCCTCGCCTGCACAAGCCAACCATGCCGAGCCTCCCTAACTTTTTTTTTTTTTTTTATTGTGCAACCTGGTTGCAAAAGCCAACCAGCGCTTCTCTCTCCCATATATATATATATATATATATATATATATATATATAGAGAGAGAGAGAGAGAGAGAGAGAGAGAGAGAGAGAGAGAGAGAGAGAGAGAGAGAGAGAGAGAGAGAGAGAGAGAGAGAGAGAGAGAGAGAGAGAGAGAGAGAGAGAGAGATGGAATTAGGTATGAAAAAAATAAAAAAATAAATCGTTATAATTTTTAGATGATAGAATATATATGATATATTTTTTTTAGATTTTAGTTTGAAGATGTATATTTGATTACATTACTTTTATCGTTTAAAAATTATTTATTTCTTATTAAAATTCTCATCACGCTTATTTTTTATATGATTTAATTTGTTAATAAATTTAGTTTTTTAATATACAAATTATGGAATAAAAATTTAAAAAATCATTCTTTTATTTTTTTTAAATATATTATTATAATTTATACAATAAATTCTTCTTTTGCTTTTTAAATGAGTTTTTTTTTAAATATTGTTATAATTTATAAATTCTAAGAAAGAGAGAGAGAGCTAAAAGTATGTTTTAGATAGTTTGACTTGTTTTTTTTTTTAAATTAATAATCGGTTAAAATAATTCACGAGTTTTATTTGCTTATATATATATATATATATATATATATTTATTTATTTATTTATTAAGAATTTATCGAAATCAATTTTATTATAGTTTTTATTTTGATATGTTAACTTCAACATGTTTCATACAATTTAGGTGTTATATGTGTGTGTGTGTGTCATTAATTTTTTTATAAATTAACTATATATCTACACATATAATACCAATTATTATTTATTTATTTTTTAATAAAATAAGTTAGATAATGTTTTGAAAGAGCCGCTTAATTATGTAAATACAAATCTTCATGCTAATATTATTAAATATTTTGTTAATAAATATATATAAATCTAACGATTTCGCTCAATATATAAATTCCGTTTACATCAATCACCATAAATAAAATTTCTACTCACGCTACATCATACGAATAGTTAATTTTATGTATGCAATGGTTGTTTTATCGCATCATAGCACAAGTATCTTTTTTTTTAATCTCATATTTTAATTGTATTGTGATTTCGTCACATGTTATTTTAGTGTTTTTTCATAATTATTTTTATTATTTCAAATTTGCTACTTTAATTTGTCATTTTCCTTTTAAATTCTCATCCAATTACTTTAAAATTATATGGTCCTCAAATTTTATATACAATTTTTTTAAAAAAAATTAAACTTTAATTGTATTGTGAGTTAACCCATTTGTTTTAATTTGTTTTAATTATTTTTATTATTTGAAGTCTATAACTTTAATTTACCATTTTTTTTTCAAATTCTCATCTAATTAATTTAAAATTACATTTAATGATAGTTTTCATTTATTTTATTAATATTCATTCTTTTCTCATTCAATTAAT